TAGGAACTCAGAATCCCTTCTTAACTGCTCATTTGGCGGACTTCGTTGTCGATGATTTCGACGAGCTCCACCTCGATCCTTTTCTCACTTCTAAGTTTCCCCATATTGAACAGTGGCTGACTGGATCCAGACATGGCTACCGGGGTGCCTGATATCCATACATCTGCGGCTATCAGCTTCACTAATTATCTCAATGTGTATTGTACCTCTTGAGTGCCATGTGTACTGACCCATTTAATCAAGTGGATTGAACTTCCTCTCCAATTGATCCGTATCTCCGAAACCATCGCGTCATGTCAAATCATTCGAGCTCACAGGCAAGCATCGCGGAAGACGTGCATAAGTCTTCCCTCTTGGCCCCGCCGCACGGGACCAGTGTTGGACTGACGTGGCAGCCCCCGACCTCGACCCGGCCTATCAACGACCCAACGACTTTGAAGTCTCCTTGTGTCATTGATACGACATATGTCTGTGAAAGTTCAGCCAGCCTTGGGTGATGAAGGCTTTCACTGCGTTTCTGGCACTATGGGTTACATCTGGGCCTGTCCGGTGATACCGTCTAGACTATAGGTTCTTGAATAGTACACCTGCATGTATGCTGTGCTGCATTACTACTAGCAATCCTCTTATAGAGGCGTAGGCTGAGCGTTTCGTATCCTGACGCAACCCTGATTCAGTCTCCGATTCGATGTCGATATCTGACCTCCAGCTGCATGCTTGCGCGACATGACTCTGGTAGTACCGCACCCTGGTCTAAAGTGGTAACCATTGCGTGTCTGATATTCGGTCTCCGCAGACTCGAGTGTTTGGATATTGGTTGCTCAAGAGCTTCAGTTTTTATATTGACAACGCAAGCTATCCCAGCCAGTGATATGTTCCGCTGGCTTCAGGAACGCTTCTTGGTTTTCTGTAAAAAGAGACCTAGCTTGAGCGTAGCCAGTCATTTGTGGATATATATAAGAATATGAATATCCATAGTCTACAAGTAACAGTCGTCGTAGCAGATACTGTCCGTCCACCTCTCATGCATTCAGACCTGGACATACAATCCGACACCGGATACATGTCAGTCATGGATTTAGACAAACTGAATCAAATCTATGCCACTATATTGTAGATCTCATAACTGTCTGCCAGAACTTGGAGCAGAATCGGCTTTGAAGGTGATCGGCGTCGACTGGATACATGCCGGTATGACACCAGCAGCTTTCTAGTATTTCAATATCACTTTTGGAGACGTAATTCATAAAATCAAAGACCTCACCGCATCACTTGATGCTAATCTCTAGAGGTCAGTAGAAATGAGGGCCATAGCCGTAATGACTGGATATCGTCACGTGACATGTCTCCGCGGAGATTTTCTTGGCGCGCTAAAAATTGTATTCTACAGGCAAGAAAAAAAAGTTGAGAAGCAGAAAAAGAAGGTCAGAAACGATTAACACCACGAACAACACTATTCCACAATACCACCGGAATGATCGTTTAGCGACTGGCTCTAACCCTTGAGCCAAGGTAGATATCTTCCTCATTTGACGGATCTACCCTTCTCGCTTCCCTTTCTTTCTACTTCGAAATCTTCAATACAAGACCTTGATCGCACCAGGTAGCCAACAATGGATATTCATCGCTGCCGCTTCGTGCCTTACAACCCCCAGGCGATCAATGCGCTGTCATTCTCTCATCCTCCCTCTGCGGAACTTGCCGGTCGAGGTGTCCCTACCCTCCGGCTTGCCATCGGTCGCGCAAATGGCGATATCGAAATTTGGAACCCAATGCGCGGCGCCTGGTTCCAGGAGACGGTCATGCGCGGAGGAAAAGATAGAAGTATAGAAGGGCTTGCATGGACTCTCGATCCACCGGAGGCTCTACCTGACGGAACCAAGGTTCCGGGAAAACTGCGCTTGTTCAGCATTGGATACTCGACCGCGGTGACGGAGTGGGATCTGGAGCAGGGCCGCCCCATGCGTCACTCGAGTGGAAACTACGGTGAAATCTGGTGTATAGCAGCGCAACCAAGATGGCAGGCTACGAAGCGCGGCAAGGATGGAAAGCCTCTGCCGCCAGCAGAGGGAGAGTACACCGGGCAGCATCTCGCGGCTGGATGCGCCGATGGCTCAATCGTGATCTTGTCTACTGCCGACGGCGACTTGAAATTTCTACGACTGATGCGTCCATCTACCAAGAGAGCGAGAGTCCTCAGCGTCACTTTCCAGAATCGCAACACCATCGTGGCTGGTTATGCGGACAGCTCGATTCGACTATTCGATATTCGGTCTGGGCAGCTCCTGCGTACAATCTCTCTCGGCAAAGGACCGACTGGTGGTCCCAAGGAATTACTGGTTTGGTCAGTCAAGTGCCTTCCAGACGGTACGATTGTTTCCGGCGACTCCGCAGGCGAGATCCGGTTCTGGGATGCGAAGAACTACTCCCTTATTCAACGTATACAAGGTCATCTGGCAGATACCCTCGATGTCGCTGTCAGCGCAAATGGAGATACAGTCGTCAGTGGAGGTGCAGACCAGAGGACGGTTGTGTACAGGAAAAGTCCGGGAGAGAAAGGCGAAAAGAAGGGAAGATGGGCTGAAGTGATGCACCGTCGGTACCACACCCATGACGTTAAGACTTTTGCTGTCTATGAGACAAGGGATATCAGTATTGTTGTTTCTGGAGGTAAGACTCAACTCCCTTTACTTCCTCTTGTGATGTTTTTCGGCGAGTTGACATTTCCTAGGTCCCGACGCCTCACCTGTCGTACTCCCATTGCGTGAATTCGGAAAAGAACATCACAGGAAGCTCTCCAGTCTGCCGCAAATACCTCAACTGGCATCTTCTCCTTCCTCTAGGCTTGTGATGAGCTTCTGGGACAGAGAGGTCAGCATCTGGCGCGTGTCTCGTGGCCCTACCTCACCACACGATAATTTGGATGGGCAGAAGCATCGGCTCGTCGGAAAGGTCTTAATCCAGGTGAGAATGCAAAATACCCTTGATGAAATGACAAGCTGCTAAGGCGTGCCCTATCGCTTTATCACAGGGCGAAGAAAACATCACGTCAGCGATGCTCTCCGTGGACGGAAAGATCCTTATTGTGGCTACGGTCTCCGAGGTCAAGGTTTTCTCCGTCCGACGACGAAAGAGTGATGAAAGAGGTGCTTTACGCATAACAAAGTTGGATGTTCCTGCCGCGTTCTCTGAGGATGGTGCACGAGCTGTGGCCATCTCACCGGATAGCCGGTGGCTCTGCGTGGTTCGGCCTAATAGCGCCATCTACCTGGCCAGGGTCATGCCTGCTTCGTCTCCTCAAGAGAAACCACAGATCTTACCGCAGCTTGTCAAGCTGGACAGGGCGACTCGGCACACTCGTCACGAGAAGGCTTCTCATGGTACTCTAGGGGACTACGAGAGGACTGTCCGGTGCGTTGTCTTTTCCGAGAACAGCAGAATTCTAGCAACTGGTGATCTTTCCGGCTGTGTCGATACCTGGTTCTTGAAGAATGTTGAGGACTCGTCTTCAGAAGCTGCCGACAAGCGCAACGGCGCTGCGGATTCTGACGATGAATCTTCGGACGATGAGGATGAGCGACCAGTGATAGACGGAGAGCGCTGGCAGTACGCCAATGCTGACTCACCTATACCCAGACTCAAATCTGGGGTGCTTTTGCTCTCTTTTCGGCCCCAAAGCCTGGCAGAAGCAAAACTTCTCACAAACGGTACTGATCAGTCTTCCCAAAAATCTCTCAGGGGCGAGAGTCGGTTGATGGCTCTCACGAGTGAACATCAGCTTGTGGAATTCGACGCTCTCGAAGGAAAGCTATCGGACTGGTCAAGGAGGAATCCCAAGGCTTATCTTCCGGAGCAATTCAAGGGGGTCAAGGACCGCGCAATGGGCTGCTTGTGGGATCTTTCCGAGTCGCGTGACCGCCTGTGGTTGTACGGTACTTCTTGGTTATGGATGTTTGACCTGAATCAGGATTTTCCCTCTTCGGAAGAGATGAAGGAAACCGCAGATGGCCACGAAGAAGGAGACTCTTCGACACAGCTCGTTAAGGCATCTTCGGCTCACAAGAGAAAGCGTGAGCAATTAGAGGAAGAAGAGAAGAGAAGAAAAGCGAACAGTGGTGCTGGTGATCGAATGTCACTGGCTCAATCAGATGTTCACTTTGGCTCCAAATATCGCAAGATCGAAGGACACGACGATTCCAAGGGAGAGTGGGTCTCCCTAGACAAGGAACGCCCACATGCAGCAGGAGACGAAGAAGCCTTTGAATATGATGAAAACTCTGCAGCTGGCCATGACGCAGCTTTGGCGCGACTCAGAAGAGGAAAGCTTGAGGAAGACGAAACCAGCACTCCGCGGAAGCGAGTCTCTCTTGGGCCTCGTGATAAGCTTCTCTCGCTCAATGGATCCAGTGATACACCGGCCCGGAAGCCAAATGACCACGACATTCTTGACACGCCCCAGAAACAATTGGTGCAGTCGAACGGAACGCAACCGGCACGTCGGTGGTGGTACACGTACAAGTACCGTGATCTACTCGGCATTGTGCCTCTGAACCCTTCGTCGACCGACGATGGCGTCGAAGAGGGTACTGCCGGCAATACGCTGGAGGTTGCCGTTGTCGAGAGACCTATGTGGGATGTTGAGTTGCCAGGTCGCTATGTCAGGGATTACGCATAGGCCGCGTATCGATTTGTTTGCAGAAGTGTCTGAGAAATCTAGGCACCAATGTTTGGTCGACTTTGCGAATCCCAAAATGTTCTATTCTATACTCGGAATCCGCCATTGAACGTCATACTCTGCACATTTGTCATCTGGCGCTATGTATATTTTTCTCATCTTCCTGTCCTTTTCAACTTTTGTACTCACTTGGCGAGCTGGATAGGTCTATTTATAAATGGATAAAAGTTTATTCTTGGAATGAACCTTTCCCTTCTACCTGTACCAGTGACTGCGAGGCTGCAGGCAGTGACATTAGCCCCTTTAGCCTGAGGGACCGAACACGATGGCAGGTGATCTCGGCAACATATCGCCAACCATGACCTCCGCAGCTTCATCTCTCTCTGATGTACACCCGGTGCCTATTTCTACGCAATGAGCCGTATAAGTCCAGTCATCAGCTTAATTGCTGAACGAAAATGATGGATTGAACCCCATTCTCCCCAGCAAAGCACGCTTCAGAAGGCCGCTCATCATTAGAGTCTCTTTCCGGCGTCTCAGTGGACAACAGTACATCTCAGGTATACGGTTCATTCTCGAGGACTATCAGGAAGTTACCCTGGGCAACATTGTGGCGAAGAACGAGAGAATGCTCGAGATAGGCGCCGAACTCTGCAGACCAACCAGTTTCATCGCCGCCGTCCGCCCCAGAGGTATCCAGGCCCTACGCGCTGTGACGGATAAAGGCGACATCTCGTCCTGGGTGGGATCATGGAAAGAGAACCCCAAACTCCCCGATTATGCATGAAAGAGACAATCCATGAAATAAAGGGGTGTTTCGTTGTGAGTGATATATCACATACAAGCCTCTTCCACAAGCGCACAGGAACAAAATTACCCGTCGGACCTCAAACCGCTCTTCCCTTCTGACCCCAGGGCAAGCCAACCCCCAATCTGGCGCACAACGGGACTCTGGTACCCAGAGATCCTAGCACCTTCCCACCTCCTCCACGACAGCACGTTCGCAGGCCGTCAAATCCACCTACAGGAAAACCGGCCTCTGGTGCAAACCATGTCTGGCGGAATCAAGGGCCATATGCTGCAATACCTCACCCGTATCTCAGTAAAAGTCTCGGAGACCGCAATCGTCGGAATCGATCTCTTCTACAACGACCACCCACCCGTCAATTGTCTCCAGGCTTGCCCGGCAACCGCCAAGGGCGACTACACGACCAGGATCCGCTTTCCCATTGAGGGCTGGTGAGCGCTTGACGGGGCTTCAGGCGGATATGGGCGTCTTCGCGAGTGTGCACGACTGCAGCAATCCTTACAACTACGCGCGATCACATCCTTGAAAGTAAGTGGCCCAGATCGAAGACGGGTGTTTATTGTCGATGGAGCATACAGACTACGTATGTGACACAGGTAACCACGAACTTCAAGCCTGTTCCCTTCACTTTTCAGCCGAGTGCTATCCTGCAGCCGAGACTTCCTGTTGGCCCATACATCCGCCAAAGATCCAGAAAGGTAGAGATTGCTCCTGGGACGACGTTGAGAGGGATATACTTCATGCATGTGGGTAGTCAACGACTTAATGGAGAATTTTTGTGCCAGCCGCCTGATTTGGTATATGTGGCCGATCAGGATACGGTATTCGGCATGCTAAGCATGGGATGTATTTCCGAAGATCTCACTGCAATGGAGAACGGGCTACAACAAAGTTTAGAGGATGAGATAAGGTCTCGAATTATTGGATGAGTTTATCGACCTGGTGCTACGACTCAGTAGTGGTATCGCTGACAGCAGCTGCTACAAGGCACGTTTAGCTGTTTAAATCATTATGACCAGTCAGACTCTGAGATTCTGATGCATTGAGAGAGTATGCTGACCCCATAGGTGTCAATTTGTGATTCCTTAAAATGTCTAATAGAGTGTTTGTAGAGAACACCCGCGCCTCGTGCTGCACCGTGAGATGAAAAAACAAAGAAAATAAACAATAACTACCGCTCTCAAACATATATCATGACGAAGTGAGATAGTGCGAGGCAAGAGAAGAAAGTGTTGAGAAATTGTAGAAGAAACACCTGAAGCGAATACGACAGCGGCTTCTGCCAACTGTTTCGTGTCTGTTTTCCCCTTTCGTGATTCACCGGACGAAACGGATAACTGCCTAGAATGGATGGAGACAGTATATAATCGTCGGGAGTGGCCAGAGGCGATTTCGAAGCAGGAACTCGTCTCATCCGCGAGGACAAATGTCCCACGGGAAACTAGTATTGAGCAACGTGTCTAAGCGGAAGATTGGACCCATCAGACACAAGGTCCGGCCGGCCGTATTAATGGTATGCGGGGTAGCCTGTGATTTGAAGGCGCAAGGGTTGCTGGGCAGCAAGGAGAGCAGCCTAGAAAATGACCACCATGGCGCTCGGATATTGACGGTGAGAACTCGTTCTCGTAGAGCCTGTACCGTACCATAAAATGCTTCTGGCTTCCGATTATTACCGAAAGAATATGCACTTTTGATAGAACGTCACATTTGCCATCAATCGGTCGAAATGGGTTCGGATATGCTTGGCGGTAGCATTTTGTAAAAGGCAATTTCTTGGCGGGTGAATCGGTGGAACGATTAGTAGCTTTGGGCCGATACGTGGGCGGGCTAGAACTATTAGCGACTGATGCCCCATGATGTGACGAGAGACGGATAGGCAAAGGAATAGACCACAAGCGCCTCGGCGATGTTGCACGAAGAGGTTGTGATCTTCCTTGGCGACAACGAAGCGAAGTAAGGGCGGACTTACAGGACTGCTTAACATGCTATTCCGCTCTTTCCTGCCCTTCTTGATATGGTTCTTCAGAGCAGTGGAATCTAGCGGTTTGAGTAGCTCAAAGCTACATAGCAGCTCCCCCGACACTGACATAATGGCACCCCAATTATCGAACTCGCCACAGTACTACAGACGCCAGTCAGCAAACACAGTATTCTTCACGGGAAAAATCATGCAAAAGGAAAGTCCGGTACTCACGTTAGGAGCCGAGAAGACAGTGACTAAAATACGGTCCTGATAAAACTCGTACCCGTCCTCGACCACCATATGCGCGCGGCAGACCAAGTCGAAGTCATGACGCTGCAAAAAGTTCATGATCACCTTTTTACCGAAGCAATAACTGACACCGCGTTCGTTGGGCTCCCAATCTTCTTCCATGTCTGCCGGGTCGCTCCAGAGGAGATCATTGAGCAGGCCATAGTCAGGTACGTCAGTGGGCCTTGCAATTCCCCGAATATCATCCATGTGAGAGAGACTAGGAGACAGTCCGCCATGAACACAAAAGATCTTGCCAGCGACGGTAGCAGCGATAGGAAGGCAGTTGAATGTATCGATGAAAGTCTTCCAAATCTTGATGTTGCAGCGCCGCTTGCACTCATCATAGAATCCATAAACACGAGTGACATTGGCACATTCATGATTACCGCGGAGAAGGAAAAAGTTCTCGGGATACTTGAGCTTGTAACACAAGAGGAGCAGGATCGTCTCCAAGCTTTGTTTGCCACGGTCGACATAGTCGCCTAGGAAGAGGTAATTGGAAGCGGGAGGAAAGCCACACATCTCAAAAAGTCGAATTAGGTCTGTATATTGGCCATGGACATCGCCCACAATCTTCACAGGAGCCGACAGCTCCAGCAATGCAGGCTGGGAGAGGAAGAGCTCCCGTGCCGCTGAACAAATGGCCGTGATCTCCGCATTCTTAAGGCAAACGGTCTTTGTGACTTTGGTGGAGTAGCCAGCATCGAGCAGTCGCGAGATCATGTCATCAAGGTCGATAGACTTCAGGGCACCCATTCCCATACCCGGAGATCCAGACGTCTCTAATGGGGCATTCATGATGAAGTCCAGAATAGGATTCATTTGGTTCTCTCTTTTGATGAGGATCGATTCGCCGACTTTCTGGGTCGACGGGCCCGTGGGCGCAGTGCCGGAGGGAGGTACATCGGATACATGGTCGACCTCGCCACTCTGCTGCATTGCATTGACATCTTTATGACCTCGTTTCAAGCTACTCGACAGGGAAGGAGACGGAGGAGGCTCAGGAGCATCGGGTTGAGGAGAGGCATCATCGGGAGACTGGACGCTTTGGTTGGTGGAACTGCGTCTACTGGTTGTCGACTTGACCGATGCTGCGTCGGATTTATCGTCCGACAATCCTGCAGTCGATCCTCTAGGACTGTCGCTACTCCGAATCTTGGACCGGATGGAGCCGCGAAAAGAGCGAAGAGACTCCTTAGTATCGGAGCGAGAGAAAGATGGATAGGACTGCAGAGAGTCGCCAGGGCCAGAATTGCCCTTGGAATGCGACTGACCCATTACTGCAAGGCGTGGATATCTGCCAAGCTCGAGATTGTATGATCCACAAAAACGTGTCTATTCAAGACGATACGAAGTTCCGGGCTCGCACTGGAATGCTCGGGCCTGTCTTGGCCTGCACGACGGTGCTGGGGTTATAAAATAGGATGGAAATCCGCCTGCGAGAGTTGAACGGAGAGTATGCCTTCAAAGAGTGGTCGGGATTAGCTCCAGATGCAGAATATTGCAATGCTCGTTCGTTCACCGACCGATTATTGTCGTTAAGATGATGAGGATTTCCACAGCAGTCGTACCGACAGTTCAAGTCGAGGAAGGAGGAGGGGAATTTGCAGGAACCGACCGAGACGAGAATGGCATCAGTACAGTGTCCAAGCCGCAGAGCTAGCTGGTCGGAAGGGAAAGCTCCGATTCGCCGGTAAGAAGAAGCTTCTAAAATATGTGAGTTAGTATGAGCGGAGCAGGGCAACGAGGGACAGGACACTGGGGAAGTGAGCAGGTGACCGACAATGAAATACTACTAGGGGAATAGTATGTGTGTGGAGGTGGCTGGAGAGGACTTGCGTGACGGGATGAGTTTTGAGTTGGAGGGGAGGGAAGAAAGGATTGCACTAGAGGGGAAATACTGCGTCATTATGGGGTGTGCAATGGACAGAGATACGGTACCTGGGACTGGAGAAGATCGAAGGGACGAGACGAACCTTTATGAGCCTATGAGGCAGTACAGATCGACAGAGTATGAGGGGAAAGACAATGGTGTGAAGCTGTGAGGGAGTAGAACGGACTGAAGAGAGGGAAAAGAGTTATTTTCTCTGTTTGTAGCAAGTGAATTGATTGTGGCGTAGAAGAAGAGGTCAACAGGTGTACGTACTAGTACGGAGTAGGTACCACTCCGTTTGCTGGGATTTGCTGGGCAGCAGATTGTCACTCTCGCCTTCTCAATCTCCAGGCCGTCATTTTTGGGTCTCGATCATGCAGCGGCTGTGGCATTCCCCGGATCATCTGTCGGCCCGGATAAGCTCGGGTCTCAGTTTGGTGCGCCTCAGGCTTTATGGAAGAATTGCCCCAAGTCGATGATGGTGATATTGGTGCCTAGTTCTATAAATAATCGGAATACATCTATGGTTACTCCGTAGATTCTCCATGTTTACTTCGTCAGAGAACCAATTTCTGATCATTTCCTATCACAGTGTGTTATCAAAGTCATTAGCATCATCACATTGACAGGCCCGCTGCTTGTCTTACATCAAAGATGAGAATATGAGGTAATGGTGGCCAATCACCGGGGATGCCTCATTATCTCTCTTTCCACTTCTGGCCTTTAGACTTCCGGATGTTGCTGAGCCACTGGTCAATCAGCGCCTCTGGACTCCTCGTGACTGGCAAGTGTGGAATTGAATTTGACACATCTCAGCACTGACAATGCGATCTCGTTTACCCCCTCTTTTCTCTTGGCTTGGCGTGTTTTTTTAGTGTTCTGGACTTCTGAGTTGTTGAAGATCAGAACACATTCTACCTACAAATTTGAATTCAGTCTGGAGAGCATGTGATGGGCCGTATGAGTCAGCTGTTCTCTAGCATAGTTGTAACTAACTATACATCAGTCGTCTAATGCTTCTCCCGATTATACCCATTTTGGATGCATTCTAATTGCTTGCAGCGCTTGATCGTATTTCTTGAGTTGATGAATACGTAAAATGCTTTTGGCGGCACTCTGAATTATTCTCGGCCCACCAAATCTGGCTCTGTCAAGCTTAAGGGACCATACAAAGCAGACAAGCCTGGACCAAGCTATGCCGCCAGTCGCCTTGATCAATCAAGCTAGCTAGCCTGTAGCGAATTGCTTTGTGACTCGACAGGTTTTGAGTCCCCGACATTGAACGGGATAAATAGCAATCTTCCTCAGTTCACTGCAGGAACACCGCCATTTCAAACCCCCACCCTAGGCCGGCTTCGAGCTGACTGTAGCTATCACTGCCAAGCCATATGTCCTGCGCCAAGTGTTCTCCTGCTCTGTCTCCTAGCCACGTTGTAGTCATATAGATCATGCGAGAAGCTGCGTTGGTTATCCCGGCCGGTGTCTTGGCGGCGAGCGATGATTTTGATTTGTGCAAAGCAGGAATTTTCAAGCAACAGCTCTGGTAATCTCCTCGCTGCTGGATACGCGGAGGATGGAGATTGTTGCACAGGGCAGTTCACCATAACTCTCATCATCCCCTTCATTCGTTGTAGAGCCTTGGCCACGCGACTGGAGCCGGCCAAAATCGGAGCAGCTGTGGCAGACAATGTCCGCGTATGGCTCGACATCACCAACACCAAATGTGCCCGACGAAAGAGAGGTGTTATGACTTCCGCAATGTGTCTCGTAGACGGCTCTGTTGAGGCGTTTCCTCGAGTTCAATTTTCGTGATATGCTGCCCGGGAACAACGACAAGACCGATAAATCGACTAGTCATATCCACTGTGACATTTTTCGGCTCAGGGCTCGCTTCGACTTGTTCGTCATTGGTGTTTGCCGTAGCATTCCTGATGGCTGATGGGCAGGGAAAGCGATATTCGTACGTGCCCGCGAGTATAATGTTCCTTTCCTAAGAGACATGAGCCCCAGTCAGTGATTGCTCGTAATATTCTCCATAATATTTGTCCGTGCCTCTACTTCAAGACCTGGGAACTGGATCACGACGAGGTCATGGCGCACTCACCGCATCTGTACATTTGAAAGCGCCTACAAACATGCGCGTGTCTGTAGTGTGCACCCGTAGTGTTTGTCCGATCAACGATTCCAGATAACGAATGGCTTGCATTTCATCCATGATTTATGTTTTGCCGCTGTCGGTCAAGGCGAAGTCAGCAGTTTCGATTTTGACTCGGTGCGTTCGACCAATGGAAGAAGTACGTTGGTCTGTTTTGGCTGCTGAAGAAGAATAACAAAAGATAGCTCGACGCGGCAATTGGTGAAGGAATGGAGAGAATTGATCAAGACCTCAGAGCCTTCTGGCCAGCAGAAATTTGGTTGGATTTCGCAAATACTGTCGACCGGCTGACAGTGCCGAATAGCTAGAGTGTGACGGCCTGACGGACAGTTGGTGAGCGTAACCTGAGGGCTTTCGAGGTCTCCGCCTCTGTGTGGTCGCATGTGACACATCAACTCACCATTCATTAAGATATTGATATCAACCTGGATAGTGAACAACAACCGATTCTCTACTCCAAGAAGGTAATATGATAATATGGACTATTCGTCTCGTTTTATTTCGACTACTTCTTTTTAAGTGTATTTTCGATAAATATGATGTGGGTATATTGGGGCTTGGAGGCGTCGTTGGTGATGCCCATCTTGGGCAGAAACCAACCTGTACACAGCCATGAACAGATCAATGAACAGATCAATGAACGGTCAATGCCGGGAATGAGGGTGCTTAAGCAATCAGGATAATGCACGAAAGCGGTCAATCAGAATTATATGAAGGGAACACTGGCGGATACATGGCAGCAGTGTCTCCGGTCGGATGTTTTAGGAATCCGGATAACCAAGAGAAGGTATATATCGCCGCGGTATTGGGAGCCGCCGATACGCTCCAGTTGTGTCACACGTGCGGACAGCCGACGAAGGCGATAAGACCATCATGCCCATGCCAGAGCCCCCGCCCATCTCTTCGAATCTTGACCTGAGTCGTCGGAACTTGATTCCATGCCCATATCCGCATGGGCGCTAGCAAACTGTGGTGCTGAGTTACTTGAGCTGCTCTCACTTGACATGCCTGGTGAGGCTATAATATGATTGCAATTGTGCAGGGGAATGGTCTCCGACTGTGAGGTATGGTGCGTTTGTCGGGCTGTCGTGTCATTTGAATTGGGAAAAGAAGAGGAAGAGTGATATGTTTGAAAGAATTTATGCAAGGTTTGTTGGCGGGGGTCGGTAATTTCTGATGGCGGCAGTGGTTCTGAATCCATGTCTTCGCCTTCATCCTCATCCTGAACGACTGGGGGAGCAGGTCCGTGTTGGTGCTTTTGAGCATTGAACAACCAGCGGAGAGTATTCTCTACAACCATCAGTCAAACGGCTGAAGTATATATGAGGCACAACACCAGGCCTGTTCGTACCATATACCACTTTCTCATCTGGTCGATCATCTCTGAAACGCTTCCGTGTTCGGCTGTGGAGATGTCTTGGTGAATCTTCCACTATTCGCGACGGCCCTGCGACGACTGGCACTGTATTTATGGGTGACAGCGCGGAGAACGAAGCTTTTCGTTTGAGAGACATGGCCCTCTAGTGCGCTGCAAACAATGATCCAGGAGTCGAGGTTGTCAAAGTCTCGGCGCCGCCAATCGGCCGCTTCTGGGAATGGCAAACTTGTAGAGCAAAGGATAAGCAGTATCAGGAAGAAACACACGCCAGCGCGAGTTCATTCGCAGAAGAGAAATACGAGAAGTAGTGTCCACGAGGCTGAAATGCAAGGGGTTCTTTGCGAGCACATATGCTGGGAAATTGAGAGTGGTTGGCTGCGCAGCGCGTCCTGGCGATACGAAAAGGCGCGTCATAATTGGTGTGCCAGTTACCTCCAAAAAAATGTACGCTAGGCCATATTGGGATTAATTGGCATCATGAAGGAAGACGAAAGGTCGTGACAGTGATAAGAAGCAATTGACTAACTGATACCCGAGATAAGGTAAATTGAGTAGTGAATTGATGGAAATTGGGTATTGTTTTCAAGATTGAGTACTTTTTCACCTGGCTGTCCGTATACAGTCAGTTACACGTCCTCATGGTAAGGTCCGCAAAGTCACACGAGCTGTTGCGCAGTTTACTTCTTCATAACTCATATAGCCTCGAGTCACTAAGAGAGTCGAATGTAACCTGTTAACGGAAGGAGAAACATTTTCTGGGATCAGGACACAAAGCTGGTCATCTCTTCAACGAAAGCTGGAGTATAGGGATTCCTAATAACAGGAGCAGGCAGAAAAGCTGCCTACTATATATCTCGCCATCAAAACCGGCGAAAACCAGCGAAATTATAAGCGGACACGCTGGGAATTAGGGTTATAGTCGATGATGCTTACGAAACCAGCAATGATTCACAGCCCAACAAAGGTCATCAGATCCTACCTTACTGATCTGGCTGAAATTTCGCTTCAGTCAAAATGCGTAGCCACTATGGGCTAATGAGGACTATATATTCGGGGTGCCGCTTTTGGATGGACCTCACGAGCCCTTTCTCAACCCATGGACAGATCATGAAGTTGGAACATGCCCGCTGAGACGGTCGAGACTAAAAGTGTAGTTGTGGCCATCAGGGGTGCAGAGGCGTGATCATGGAATCCCCCGGTTTCTTCGGGGTAATAATGGATAGTGGCTCATTTCACTGGGCGCAGTCCGGAACGCGTGAAATATCTGCTTCGAAAGGACCTCACCACCGGAGATGAGGGCAGTTGGATACAGGTTTCAAAAACCAGCGCACAGCTCCCGTCAGGGCCAACGCAAGAAGGACTGATGTATGTAGGCAGCCGTCCCAAATACGCCTCCCGAAAAAGTCTTTGACTTCATATTGGATGATGCGCCACTGTTCTACGCATAGTAGAGCGCATCAGCATCTCCAGCTGTCAAGCAGTACTTGGTGGTCTTGCGGACAATAGCTACATTAGGGAAGGACGCCTACTTTTTCAGTCTCGTGCTGGTTCGACAGGCTCCCAGCGGGGTTTGTAACAACGTCAAGTCGATCGTAATTTGGTAAACTTGCTCACAGACATCAAGTGTTCGTATGGGTACAACACCCACATTCCTTGACTGGCTGCTCGTAAGCACGTGCGATGGAACACCGCAGCATATGGACAGAAAATAAGGAACAAGCAACGACATGCCGGTAAGCTGGGCTTATCTCCGAAAGTTACCTTAGTTTAGTCGTAACTTTATTGAATTATTACTCGAGACAGGACCTGGTACCTATGGCCAGTTCATGTACGCCGACGAGGACACTAGCACTAGGCCAGTGTGTGCACTGTGTATAGAGTTGCACAATACCAGAGTCCAGAACTGGCTACGCTCCCAGATGCATCGAGATTTGCAGCCATTGGTCCGTGGGACGAGTCCAATTCGAATTGAAGGGAAATCCAAAGAGCAAACAGTCAAAACCCCATGGTCCTATGGCGGACATCCATTGTCATTATTGACCCCATGCGAACATGAACCAACTGAAATGCCGTTGATTATATAATAATGAACAACTACTGACGGCCGGGCCAGTTGCCATCTTTCGGCTTCCCGATTCCTGCCTGCCCAGGAAAGGCTCCACTCTGTGCCTCGATCCGATCTGCCTCATCGCCTCATCTACTCCACCAAACTGGGTGCTGGCGGGGGTTACTTCGGCCATTGATTTCATGCAACAAATAGGCAAGGTGACTTATGCACCTGCCTAATATTGTATATATGGATCAACTACAAAGGCTGTCAGGATGCGTAATCAAATACCAATCTCTTCATACTTTGACTCGACTGGTTAAGCTTTGACTAGTGCTATTAGAATGATTCGGAAAGGCCCCAGTCCCTTGCCAATTTTCGCAATAGAATCTATCTAAACCAATAATGTAAGCGCATGATTTGCACGTGCTAAATAATGTAATGAAATGATATAGAACTCATCGCTAGGACTATACCTAGGGTGATTTAAAATTACCTGAAAATGTTTCCACAGTAACCCATATATAATCGGACGTAAGACTTTCATCTTCCTTGTTCCTCAATCGAAACATCCCACGACTGTACTACAATGGATAGTATTGCATCTTCCATTTTGGCTGCCGTCGCAGCGTCCACTCTGTTCATGGGCTCTATCGCGGCTCCTACCACCCAGCAGAATGGAAACTATCCTAGGCAACTTCGTCTAGCATATGCCGGACCAGACGGCATGACCGTCAGCTGGAACACCTACTCGCAGTTGCCTCATCCAACAGTTTGCTTCGGGCGCAGCCCCAAGCATCTAAACCGATGTGTTTCCTCTTAACGTCTCCATAACCTATCCCACTTCCACGACTTACAACAATCATGTCTCAATAGCCGGACTGGAAGCTGATACACTGTACTACTACCTGCCTCAGTATAGCAATGCGACTACTCCCTACACCTTCAAGACTAGCCGTCAGGCCGGTGATCAGACCCCTTACACCGTCGCCGTCGCGATTGATATGGGTCTCATGGGTGCTATGGGTCTGACCACAAGGGTGGGAAAGGGGGCTCATAATCCTCTTGGAAATAACGACAACAATACAATCCAGTCCTTACTGGCCCAAGGAGTCAGCACTGACTTCCTTTGGCACCGTAAGTCTTCTCACAGTATCGTCTACGGGAGCAAAGATCTAGCATCTCTCTCAGCCGGTGACATTGCGTACGCTGACTACTGGCTTAAGGAGGAGATCCAGGGGTTCCTTCCTAACACCACCATAGCCGACGGTGCTAAGGTGTATGAGAGCCTGCTGAACCAGTATTACGACGAACTGTCAGTTATTACTGCTCACAAGCCGTATATGGTTGGACCTGGTAATCATGAGTCTAACTGTATGTATTTCCCTGCGGCACCAATATTTTAAACAGATGTTAACCGCCACCGTAGGCGATAATGGTGGCACCACTGATAGTGTCCACAACATCACCTACAATGTTGGCATCTGTATGCCTGGGCAGACTAACTTTACCGGATTCCGAAACCACTTCCGCATGCCCAGCATTCAGTCTGGGGGTGTGGAGAATTTCTGGTACTCATTTGACAATGGGATGGTCCACTACATCCAACTCGACACTGAAACAGATCTTGGTCATGGGATAGTCAGTCCTGATGAGCCTACTGGAGCTGAGGGTGAAGATAGTGGTCCCTTCGGACTTTACGATCAGCAACTTAACTGGCTTGAAAAGGATCTGGCCTCAGTTGATCGGGCTAAGACTCCATGGGTTGTTGTTGGTATGTGCAGACCGGGTACTTAACCACATGGGTTGAATACTAATATTGAATGTCTATTCAGCCGGCCACAGACCTTGGTATGTCAGCGGCAAGAAGCAGAGTGGCACCATTTGCGAGAACTGCCGCAAGGTGTGGGAGCCTCTGTTTTTGAAGTACAACGTTGACTTGGTCCTGTCTGGCCATGCCCACTACTACGACCGGAATGCCCCAATTGCCAACTTCAACGTTGGCCCGAACGAGTTGAATAATCCCACTGCCCCCTGGTACATTACCAATGGAGCTGCAGGTCATTATGATGGACTAGATTCACTGGTCCGCCCTCTCCAGAGCTACTCCCGCTATGCACAGGATACAGCATATGGATGGAGCAAATTGACGTTCCATAATTGCTCGCATCTGACACATGAGTTTGTGGCAAGTCGGAATGGCACAGTGTTGGATACTGCTACATTGTTCAAAGATCGGAAGTGCAAGCACTAGGTGAGATTGAGTGAAATATCGACTGCACTTTTATAACAGGCAGAAGTGAGGAGGATATGGGCAACTGGAGATTGTATGCAAATCCAGGCAGTCCCATGATCCCATCCAATGACAGGCAGCCAGAGGAAGCAATTATCTGGTGGCGTGGGTAACTGCTATACTATAGATATTGGCTAAAAGGATCTGCGGTTGCCGGATATTGATTTGGTGATGGTGCATTTTATTGAGGTAAGTTGTAAACCTTACTTCGGAACTCGGTACTCTCTGTACCTCTGTTTATTTTTATTATTAGGCCGTAAGCTCTAGCCTAGCCTCTAGTAAGGTAGTAGTATGTAGTAGTGTTGACCGTCTCCACTATGACGATGTCCCGCTTCCCCGCCTCCATGGACGACGCTTCCCCAACTTGCTCAACCATAACTGAAGACATTAGCACTGCAGTCTCCAAGACATATGCTCAGATTTTCAGTATCAAGAAGGAGAAAGCAGACATTATGCAGTCCAGAGAGCCCTCCCATGCAGGCTCATGGTACTCTGACAACCGAAGCACTTTGACCCGCCAACTGGACCAGTGGCTGGCTCATGTTCCCAACGAAATCGAGGGAATCGGCTCCTTACCCGTGCCTGGCTCCCGAGTTATCATTGCCCCGTATGTATCATAGAGAACTGGAAAAAAAGCGTCCTACTCGGGAGTTAGTGCTGATGATCCAGTCACGCGGGCTATGCCTACTCAGGACCATGTGCAGCTTACGCATACAAAGCTCTGGACTTGTCCAACGCGTGAGGAAAAGGCCCTGCTCATTGCTTGCTGTTGTTTTTTGCTGACTGATTGAGACCAGGAAGCGGATCTTCATCCTAGGTCCATCGCATCACCACTATCTCTCGACACTCGCTCTCCCTCAGCTTACGTCCTACTACACCCCGCTTTCAGACGAGCCTCTACCACTTGACACGGAGCTTATCGCTAAGCTTCTTTCGGCAAAAGCAGTCAAACCAAACGGGTCAACAGTCAGTTTCACAACTATGACACGGTCGGTCGACGAGGACGAACACAGTATTGAGCTTCATCTGCCCTATATCCACCGCCTGCTACAACTACAACATCCCACCAAGCGGACATCTCAGTATCCGCCCCTAGTACCAATCCTGGTCGGAAGCACTTCTGCATCTACAGAGCAAGCCTTTGGAGCCTTACTTGCTTCTTACTTGGAAGATCCTTCCAATGTGTTTGTGATTAGCTCAGATTTCTGCCACTGGGGCCTTCGCTTCAGCTACACATACTACGTCCCCCAAGCTCCCAAGCCTGGGCCGAAGCTTCCTCTTTCCGCCGATGCTCTGCCTCAGCCGAGCAATGACCTGGATGAGTTTGAAGGAAAAATCGAGCAGGTGTCAGCGGGTCACTCCCTCCAGCGGAGAGACCGAATTAACAGTCGTGAGCCAGCGATTCACGAGAGCATTTCTGCTTTCGATATCGCAACTATGGCTGCCATAGCTACAGGCGAGACCGAGAATTTTCTTGATGCCATACAAAGAACAGGTAATACGGTATGCGGCCGTCATCCCATTGGGGTGATCATGGCCGCGATTGAAGCGACCAGGACCCAGGAGGACGGGAAGAAGGGCGCGTTCCATTTTATTCGGTATGAGCGTAGCTCGGATGCAGTTAATGTGACTGACAGCTCCGTGAGCTATGTCTCTGCGTTTGCCGTCTTGTAGAAATCCGTCCTCGTCCTTGACTTCTGCCCCTGAGCGCTGACGGAAGGGAGTTACTTAGGTTGCTTACACAGTTAGACATTAAGGCTAAGTAGTCTATGATTTGATTGTCTTATGGTATGGTGCAACCCGTCTTGAGCCAATTTATGCGATTTGCCAATCCTCTTAGTACAACCCCGTATGCCTTCATATACTCCAAGGATTGCATACTCGCAGACATGAAACAGTAACACCGTGGATGTCGCCAGAGCTGCGCATTCAGTGACACTTGTTCTCAATGGACACGGTAACTTCCCTTCCACCGGGCCTATAGCTGCAAGCCGTTTGAACTGTTACAACTTATCTTCATCTACTTCACCGATCTCTGGCCTTAGATGCAACTGAAGGCAGGGATGGCAGCGCAAGAATCGTTACAATGGTCCTAAGATTTACTATCGCGTGTTCCTCAGAGACTCCAATAAGAGACAGTTGGGGCCATGCCGATATCACACGGGTTTGAGTATCCAACTTCGCGTTACACAGACGAAAAGCGCATCGCATCAGTGGTTTGAATAAGGTCTCAAGCCATCGCGCCACATCTAAAACCATCAAGTGCTTCGAGTGCTGCAATTACCGACAGCAACCCTTATGACTGCATTCTTCCAGATTAAGAGCATATTCCATATACTCGGAGCCCTCCCTTCCCCAATCATAACCAAACAAGCCCACGACCACATAGATTCCGTATGTCCGGTGATGAGATCGCGTGGCTGACCGAACAGGAATGCTACCCCACAAACTTGACTTTGGATTCGTGGCTCCTCAGGGTTACAGAAGCTCGTTGTCGGCATAAGTTGTAATATGGTGTACGACATATGCCGTTATGTAGGTTGACTAGGCACTGTTTCGTCTTTGTTGTGCCCCGCCATCCCCACCATGAGGCTCGAAAAAATGTGGACGAAATATGCTTTTCAGATCATCAAAGTAATGACGACATCTGATCGTTCCGTTAAATATCGGCAATCATGTTATTGGAGACAGATGACCTTTGTTTGAGGTGTTCGGCTCTCGCGTCCTCAACCCTCTTAGGGTCCAGTTGGGGCTATCCGAATCGTTCTAAGAATGACAATCTCTCAAGCTTCTAGTATCAATCAAGTCATGCATGGATCGCACATCAAGCTTTAAGCTTCTCTTATCCCAGATGATGCCGTCGCTTGACTCTAATGTTCCCGTGGCCTTTGCTGAAACCCGATCGATTTCAGTTTCTGACTGGAACGTCTCCTTCATCTGTCTCGGCGCCAAAATAAACCCGGCCATTGGGACTGCCCTAAGCATTTGAGACAGGACACTTAATCTCAAAAAGAGCGTCTTGACAAGATTCGTGTGATACCGTTGCAATCATTGGCCTCATGATGAGACGCTGCTACGGTCCTGAGGCTTGTTTTCAGGCCAATGAGCAACATAGAACGAAATATCAGAGATCTTTGCTGAGCATACTGCAACCGTAGTATAGGCCTTCAGAATGGCCAGTGAGAGTTGACTTGACATTCTTGTTGTGAATACAAAAAGGCCATTTCTTCACACGTCTCTGCTCTCAGAACATGTCGACAAACTAGCACACTGCCAAATCTGGCTTCGAAACACTCCTTCCTTTTGGCTCGTTGCAATCCTTTAGCTCATTAAGTTCGTTCCTTCTATACTATCATGGTCGGTCATACCACGATGAAGCAACGTTTGCTTTGCTGCATTTGATCTCAAGCAAAGGCTGATTGTCTGCAGATGATGCTTCTCAAATCACTCTCCTTTGCCCTCGCTGGGCTGTCGGCGTTGGCAACTGCCATTCCGATGCCAAAGCCCTTTTCAACTGATGTTTCTACCGAGGCCAGTGCCACCGACAGACTTGTGTTCTGTCATTTTATGGTAAGTCAAGAGCCCACCTAGTTTGAGTTCGAAGCAAGTAACTGACATTTGACTTCACTTTAGATCGGCATCACAAGCAACCGCCAGAGCGCCGCGGATTACGACGATGACATGCAACGTGCGAAAGCATTGGGAATAGATGCATTCGCTTTGAACATTGGCGTGGATCCGTACACTGATACGCAGCTCAATTTTGCCTACGAATCTGCCGCAAGAAATGACATGAAAGTCTTCATCTCATTTGATTTTAATTGGTACAATACTGGACAAGCATCTGCCGTGGGACAGAAGATCAGACAATATGCCAGTCTACCTGCACAGCTCAAGGTAGACGGTAAGGTCTTTGCGTCCTCATTTGCCGGTGACGGCCTCGATATCCCTGCCTTGAACTCCGCTGCTGGCACCGAAGTGTTCTTCGCGCCGAATTTCCATCCAGGAGTGGGAGACTTCAATGCTATCCAAGGTGCACTTAATTGGATGGCTTGGCCAAACAATGACAACAACAAAGCGCCGACCCCAGGTCATAACGTGAGCGTTGCAGAAGGCGATAGTAAGTACATCGCAGCTCTAAACGGAAAGCCATATATTGCACGTAAGTCTTCGAAGCTCCCAACCTTTGGTCCTTTGACTTTGGCTCACAGGAAATCAGCTGTCTCCGGTTGGTTCTCAACCCATTTCGGCGGCGAGGTTCCCTATAGCAAGAATTGGGTCTTTCCTTCAGATCTTCTCTGGTATGACAGATGGCAAGAGGTCCTGAATCTCGGGCCACGGTTCATTGAGATAGTCACCTGGAATGACTACGGAGAGTCCCACTACATCGGACCATTGTCCTCGCCTCACACAGATGACGGAGCCTCCAAATGGGTGATGGATATGTAGGTGATTTGCAACCCTTGTTGCCAGGTATAGCGCTGACCGCTTCTTCAAGGCCGCACAATGGATGGCTGGAAATGTCCAAACCTTTCATTGCTGCTTACAAGGCCGGCGAAAAGTCCGCCAACAATTACATCACCGAAGACAAGTTGATCTACTGGTATAGACCAACTCCTAAAGACATCAACTGTGACTCAACGGACACTACCATGCAGGGAAATCCAAACAACTCAAGCGGAAACTTCTTCCGCGGACGACCAAACGGGTACGAGACAATGACCGATGAGGTGTTTGTTGTCTCATTGCTCAAGTCACCCGCTACTGTTCAGGTGACCTCAGGGAGCGGCAGCAAGACATTCCAAGCAGAGGCCGGTGCCAGCGCCTTTGCAGCACCTATGGGTGTCGGCAAACAGCAGTTTTCACTCCTGCGCAATGGGCAAACCGTCATGTCCGACACGAGTCTGAAAGACATTGTCGACAGCTGCATCTGCGGCATCTACAACTTTAACGCATATGTGGGCACCGTGCCACCGGAGAAGACCATTGACAAACTCCAACCAGCGGGACTGTCAATGCTGTATCAGGGACTGACAGTGCCATGTCCCACTAACACTCTAGGACTTACTAGCCCTACCGCCACCGCTCAGTAGGCATGCAACTCTCAGAGTTCCATACTTTCGTTTCCTTTGTGCCAGACAAGTCGTCGGGTCGTTCATTACAAGGGAGGGTAGGGCTCAGTCGTTACTTTTTGTTGACTTTGCTGGCCAAATGCTTGCATTAAGTGTCGCTCATTTGCATGAATTAGGGATCTGCAGGGAGGAATTCGTCATTCGCTTATGAAATGAAACTCATGACCATGATGCCACGAACAGTTATTGCTTTGAAATCAAATGCTGGCATTGCGAAAAAGACCTGTTCCCTTCTCTTCTCGGACTTCCTTTGTAGTACTCGTAGTAGTCGGATAATGTTAGCAACTGCTCTGTGAGACTCATGGACTTTACTCCGACACAGATAAAACTAAGTGCAATTGTTGAGTGGGTCTACAGGAGTAGGGAACATGAACTGTGGCCAAATGCGGCCCTCCAGTTTCCACTATTTTAGGATGCACTCAGTGTGTCAAGTATATTGAACTGTTGTTTATTACATTGGAATATCTACCAAATCGCAAATCATCGGGCGTTGCTACTGCCGAGAACCACCGATAAGGACTTCGGTACTCCGTAGACTACTCGGAGATTCTCTAAAGGGTCTTATCAGTGAATCATAGCGTTATCTCCCCCTTCCTTTATTTAGATCCAATGCCCCTTTTGTCCATCCTATACTTCTTCACCGACACTTCATCTGTTTCTGATCTTCAACTCCTCTACTTACACTATGAGACTTTCAGGTTTTGATCCAGATCACATTGACTCGACCGCTGCTCCTAACGCGCTTACTATCGGTTTCCCCTCACCCACCAGCCACATATGACCCGACGTTCGGACATCGCGTGATTCATTCCCCCTTTTATCTAAACATCTTCGGCGCTGGCTACTCGTGTCTGAAAAGCTTACAGCAAAGGGCCGAATTGCTCAACATATACCTGCTATCATTATTCTATATTGAATCCCATGGCGCCCATCATGGTCTGTTAAAATGCTGTGCGGGGTTGAGCTGAGCTAGATTGGACGGTGACGAGAGCGTTGGTCTATTTAACTTTGAAGCGGTATATATTGGTATTTTGAGTGTCGACTCAGTCATGGCGAGGATCAAACAGGGCGTTTTCTCCTGGGAGGATGTGCTGGCCCAGCGATATCAAAGTAAGTCGAGATGTATCCCCTGTAGCCTGGATCCATAGTCGCCAATCCCTCCTCATACGAATGTACCTCGAAAGACAAAGCAGTATCATGCAGTGCATGACTGACTGAGTTTATCCAGGCAACAAGCCAGCAGCCCTACCCAGGTCGAGAAGGCACAGTGTCCTCTCCGGACGAAGCCAGTCGCAGAAGCAGACGGACACACGGTTGGAATGGACATTCCAGCCCGACTGCTCGCTATTGAAGAAACTCGCGCCCGAGCTGCGCCTTCTGATCTGGGAGATGGTCTTGGGTGGGATGCGTATACATATTATCCAGCGGCCGAACCGCCGGATGGGTCACATCGTATGTTCGCTTGCAGAGACATGCGATATCTGCCGCGGTAATGTGCCGCAGCTGGTCAAAGACGGAGCAGCCACCCGAAAGACTCAACTGCTGTCTCTCGCGTTGACCTGTAAACTGATGTAAGTAACCTCGTTCCTGGGAAGACGATGGTGCAGTGGTGTTGCCTTTCTCCTGGCCCGATTCGTCTGATTCGAAACCTCAGCTATTGCGAATCCATCCACCTGTTGTACTCGCTCAACATCTTTGAGTTCAGTAATACCTGGTCCTTAACATATCTCCGTCCAACCATCCCCGCCGACTTCTGGGACTGTATTCGTGCAGTAGAACTGCGCTGGGCGTTTCCAGGCCACTGGCTCCCCAGTAAAGACCCGGTCAAGACGGTCTATTTCTCCGCTGGACGCCAGCAGTGGGTCGAGACCTGCCGCGCTCTGACGCGGATGAAGGGCCTGCAGTCGTTCACGCTGCAGCTGATGGGGAACTGGTTCTGCGAACCGGTGGAGAAGATCCCTGTATTTCTGGAGCCGTTGAGGGAGCTGAACCTGAAGAACCGGTGGAAACTGCACTTGCCCGGCAGCCATACTATATCAAGGAGATTCGGAATATTGACGGTGATCTGCGCCAGAGGGGCATTGACTGTTCCGTTCGAGCAGCGTGATGTACGGAGTACTTTCCGTTACTGGTCTTGTTTTGGCTAGTTGGCAATGTTCAAGGTAGATTCTAATCTTGGAAACGGAATATTTCATTAGATCATGTATTTTGACATTGCATTGCTTGGAAGAGGCCAGCTCCATATATCCATGCCATGCGCACCCTCACCACTTCCGGTGTGGGTGTGCTGCTAAGACACAGATACTCCGAGAACGTAAGATCAGGCTACTGCTAGCTTCGATTCCACTCGGCCCAACTTCCTATCAACCTTCACAGCGATGAGGGACATATATCTCTATAATACTCTAGATCTACCTTTCCCACCTCCTCTTTCCCATACTAACCTTTTAGAGTCCTACCTAAACAAACAAACCAAATCAAGCTAGCCGCCAGTCGGCCCTCGGATCCGAGACACTACCGACCTTAGTCAGTTACACCAGCGGACCCGAACCAACTCCACCAATCATAAACCATCAAAGCGCAGCACGCACCTGACCTCAAAAACCAAAACACCCGAAGCGGTTAGCCACCTGCGGATCACCCCTTTCTCGCCTACACAAAAAGTATATTTATAGATCTTTGGCTGGACCCTCCGGGGCTGGGCCGGTCCCCGATCGCGGGGAGGGGGCGCCATTGAACTTTGTGTTGGGAAACTGGAAATGGGCGGAAAAAATGGTTCCATTGGAGGAGGTGCAAACTGCAAATCGCAATTAAACTGGTATGGGTCAGGCAGGGGTCTTCCCTGCTGACTGCTCAGGAACATGGAAACTAGATGCCTTTTGATTGCATGATTTCGTAGCATGTCTTAGACTTGGGGTCGGTTTGGGTCTCTTTCATTGGACGGGTTGTGGCCTTTTGTGCCGTGAGTTCGGACTTGAAGATCTCTTCTCTTGCGACTTCAAGCCTGGTCGAGACCTGATCTACAATGTATGTTGGCTTGGATTCTTCCTTCAGAAAATGCTCGTCCCACCTCACTACGAAGATCAAGTAAAAGACTGACTGGGGAAAGTTCGAGGATATCAACTGGTTGAATTTGTCCAACTATTAAATTTTTCGTTAAATATTTTGTTGATGTAACATAGAAGAGTTTAGTTGACATTATGGGGCACAGATATCTGAGATCGCCAGGAGTCAGATCAATTCGCAGAAAGGCAATGACGCTTCATCTATAGATGACATGCTCATCGTTGAGCATAATCACCAAATGCAAAGCATATCTCCAGAGCGGTGGTATCGCTTCCGTGTCTCATGGCATTGACTGGCAATTGCAAATCTTGCGTACACGCTTGACCCAGACATAGTGGGAGAGTCGAAAAGAAAATCAAGAGTATCAGTGAGAAAGAAGGACGAAAGGGAAAGGAAAAGAAAGAAAGAATGTAAGTAAGTAGAAATTAAATGTATAATCATGCCAATCTCGCAAGCACATGCAAGAGCCGAGTTCAAAGGTATGCTGATCATCGAGAGTGCTAATTCCCAAACACCTTAATCATATCCAAATAAGGAAGTGTTGCAAAGTAGAATAGTGGAAATAAGTAATAGCAGCCTTCTGCACGAAAGTAGATAGGAAAGAAAGTGGAGAGTCCTTGACTTGGTGTGATACACCATTGAGAATTGGCAATAGCTGCCAGGAAAATAAAGCGCATAAGGTCGTGTGATGATGGAATGTTCATTCACACAATAGTTCGCAGGCCTTGGATGGAGGTGCCGCCGGTGTTCGCGATATGTTGAGATTCTGGATGATGAACAACAAAACGGAAAAGGATGACGGTGTGTCGACAAGATCGACACTTAGGACTCATAGGCCATATCGGCGTCCTGCGGATACGCTTCTGATGAGCGGCCTCACCTTCCTTCCCTTCGTAGGAAATCCTATAGTAGGCGGTGAACCTCATGCGCATATCGTATGTACCTCGACGGCTGCTCATCTAGACACTTCCGTTCAGACGGAGCGTCGCATTAGCCGCCGGAGACACGGGATGAACTTTGAAGTTACGTCAGCATGGTGTGAGATGAGCGCCAGCTGGGATGTCCCTGGAGACGGCCGTAACCGCATGAGGTGAGGTGGATGTGTATAGTCGACCCGTGCTTATACGTTACCGGCCGTCCTGGGATCGGTCAGGGCCAGACTGGCCGGGACCCATCTGTCGAGTAGCAACCCAGTCTACCGGAGTGTCCTGCATTGAAGCAGGTGTCTTTTGCTCGTCACCAGGCCGACCACTGGTCTGTTGCCGAGGGAGAAGGTTGTTGATCTCCGCGACCAGTGCGGAAGCCATGTAGGCACGGAGTTCCTTTTCTTCGCGCTCATCCTCTTTCATAAGTCGTCTTTGATCCGTCTTCGACATACTCTCCCGTCGCTTTTTCCGGATCTCATGAATGACCCAGACGAGGACCTCCTCGGGCACACGATTTCGCGGAGCGCCATGCTTGACCGGGCTGCGCACATATCGTCTTGTAACATCTGTCGCACCGTCGATGGAGAAGGCAATGCAGTAGGATAGCTTTCGACCCCAGCCTGAGAAAATATGGTCAGTCAGCATTCTACAACAGTTCGTAGCATGACATGGAAGATTTCCCACCTTCAGTGTAAAGGCGTGGCTGATCCCAAGCCTCTTCGCACGCATCTACGTGCACCCAGCGCCTTTGATGCTCTGAGTAGACCTCGGTCCAGACGTAATCCTCCGAATTCCATACCCATCGTACCCGACCACCCAGCGCTCTGCAGAACATACTGAAACAGTTGGCCCATTCACCCACACGCCCTCTTCTGCTCTGTAACAATTGCCAGACGTCAGAATATCGCGGAAATCGCTCATATGCGCCACACGTCGATTCAGAGCAGCGGTATAGCTCGACACGTGTTGCACCACGCGCTGTTTCATCTGGCGTTGGGGGAGTCATGCCCTGGGCGATTGTAGGCATCAAGCATCGAGAGCAAGGAGGATTGTTGACGAATTGGAAGAAAGAGTGTTTGAACCACCTATCCAAATATCTACTGTTAGTTCAACGCCATCAAGTAAATACCGGTCCCAGCAGGAACGAACCTAAGTAGAGCCCTAATAACGCAGTCTTGATAACCCCACTCAGGCTTTCCCCCTACGCTAGCGGCCTGAGCCTGCATGATCTGGCTCTCTTCCTCCGCCTCGGAGTACAGGCGATCGAGTGGGATAAGAGAAAGAGCTTCGTCGAGGAGGCCGGGGTTTTCATATTTGGTCGGAGTGACAGATAGAACGTGCAGGAGATTTCGGAACTTCAATGATTGTTGATCTCGAGGGGGCGAGGGAACGACTGGAAGGTTTCTCAAAGAAGACAAGGCTGGCAATTGATGCTGTTGATGTTGCTGCGATGGTGACTGAGACGATGGGTAATGGGCACCGGTCGGAGGAGGTGGTGGTGCCCGCGAGGGATGTGGTGGTGTGTGGCATGACTGAGCGGGAGACGGCGATTGCGTGCGAGATCGGCTTCTTGATTGTTCCTGAAGTAAATTGAACCTTTTTGTCCGCATCAGTTGCTCGAACGCACGAGTCAATTCGGTCGCATCGTAAACGTCCGCTGCTGGCGCCCGCCGAGTGTGCTGTTGTCTGCCGTCCGCCATGCTGGTAGGGGGTCGACTACACCAGCGATCGATTGATTTGTGCCTCCAGGTTGTATTAAGAACCGATGGAACCCTTTTCTGAGATGCTGACGAGGCCTGCCTTCTAAGTCACTCAAGACAAAAGTCAGTAAACTTGGCTGCGTGGTAGTTTGTTGATTTCAAGGTAGAGTGAGTTGGTATGTGACGATGGTCGCACAGCCCAGCCAAGCGTGGCGACCGCTTGGCGGTGGTTAAGCAGCAAACTGGGCAATCCTTAAGGAGAGTAGATGAGAAGTCGAAAGGAGGATGATGAGTTACCTTTTTTCGTTAATTAATGAAAAGTGAAGAAGATAGCGATTAGTAGCAGGCAAGTAAGAATTGTATAGGGTGTCGAAGATGGTCAGGTGTGTTGGTAGGGGAGATGAAAGGGTCAGTGAGGTTCAGGTTAGGTTAGCAAGCAACAAGCAACAGAACCATCAGAAGGAGTAGGCAGGCAGACTAGGCTAGATAATAGTAGTGTGGTATATTATTAAGGTAGGAAAGTATGGTTCCCTCAGTCCTGAATCATTTATTGGGGCCTCTCCTGCTTTCTTTTCCTTTTTTTCTTTTTTTCCCAGCTTTTTTTCCCATTTCCACGCCAGCAGTCTTGAGCAGTGAGGGCGAAGCGTCGTCAGCCTTGGACTCCTCCCCAATCACGGCCCCGCGAGCGCACCGCAAGCCGCGTGTGTCCCGCCCCGAAACAGTTAACCGTACCATGGCCAAGACAGTTTGGGCTTGTCCGCAACGACTGCTGATTCCCCTTCCACGCACGACGATTGGGGTTATGCAGACGGACATACGTGTACCCTCACGCTGGGTGTCAGTTCTTCCCTTCCCTCCAGGGGTCTGGGGGATCATTCTACATCGGCTCATTGGACGATACCCTGACGATGATCCCAGGCCCTCGTCACCATGTCATTTCTCCTTCCCATAAGTTAGAATTCATAAATCGGGTATTTTAACCTTCAATTGTTGTTCCATCGTTCCTGATGCTCCACAGATTACCAAAGATTGACCCATCAACGCCCAACACTTCTTGAGTTGAACAGATTACGAGTTCATGATTGATGGTCTCCACTACCGTCTTCATGACCAGCAGAGGCTGCATCTAGATAACTACTACAAAGGCCTTGTTCGCTGGTTCGGATCAGTCTGCTGATAAAAAGACTCCGGTTTTCTCTCCACCTGCTGATGACTCTCTGAGAGTCTTGGCTCCAACTGCTACGATTTACCTCCTCTGCTTCGCAAGCCTGCACTGTCAACCTCTAGCGTGGAGGAGTCATCTCTACTGCGTATGGACGGGAGGCATCTGGTTCCTTACAGTCGTGATCTTCAATGCCATATCAAAGGAATGCCAAGTTTCCTTCTTCACATCCACGCAATGGTACCAGTACTCG